TGCAAGCAGTGGTCCTGCCTCCTCTCCTGTAGCTCTTAGTCAGAGGTTAAGAATGATTTCCAGCACAAGCTAACCAGTGCTTCCAATTCAGTCCAAGTGACTCACTGGGAGTTACAGGGTGGAGCTTGAGTGATACCTGCTGTGGGGCTCCTGACAGAAGACAGTGCACCACCATCCAGTTCAACATGCATTCACAGAATTACTTAAGTTGAAAACGACCTTTAAGACCAACAAGTCCAACCATTCCCCCAGAACTGCCAGGGCTCCAATAAACCATGTCCCCAGATGTCACATTCACATGGCTTATAAACACCTCCAGGGCTGGAGACTCCACCACTGCCCTTGGCAGCCTGTTTCAGCACTTGACAACCCTTTCAGCAAAGACTATGCAGAAGACAGAGCTTGAAGAGCTAACAAGGGAGGTGAAACAGGTTGCCCAGAGAGGTGGTAGATGCCCCATCCCTGGAAACACTAGGTGACCTTTTAAGAGTTACTTAAATGTGATTTAATAACCAAAACAGTAAATCTATGTCCTGAAGATCCTCGACCATCTTCCTGAGACACAGGCCATTTCACTCTCAGGAAAAGAGAATTTATTTTAAGAGTGTCAACTCACAAATTATTGAGTCCTTCTCTGCAGGTTTATTTTGTGGGCTACACATCCTTTATCTGTTTTGAAAGCACAACAAATTCAGGGCAAAGGTTCTGTGTTTTAAAGTCAATGCTGGGACCTATTTTTTTTCCAACCCCCTTGGGTAGTGTTTGTTTGTTCGTTTGTTTTAAATCTGGATATACATGCATCTGTGTATATGCTTGTACAACTATAAATCAACTAACCTAAATCATCAGTACATTATCAGTTGCTTGGGTATAAGCATGACCTTCAAAATTATTTGCAACCTTCTTTTGAGGGAGGCTACGAAATGCATCCTAAGGCCACATTAGAAGTGTAGAGTGATGAAAACTGACCCGAGGTGTTTATTTTAGGACTGTGGGACACTGTACATACCGGATTTCAACAGCAAGCATGCATCTTCAGACATGGAGCAAGTCATGTTGGTCCTGCACGGGGTAGGGCTGTGATCGCAGTGGTAACATCTCAAGGCATAACCTAAGATGACAAGGGTTTATCTTTATTGAACAATAAAGTACTGAGACAGCAGCAGCATTACAAAGGGAAAAAAAGAAGAATCACTGCCTGCATCTAACTGTCACAAAACATGTACATGAGTTATTAAACTCAAGACTTCAGCTAAAATTATTCAACTCCAGACTGGAGCTCAAATTGACAAGCTTTCACCAGTGTACTAATTGGGTCTGGCAATTTTGAGAGGCAGATTTTGAAGCATGTACTTACATCATTTTTAAAACCACTTACTTTAATATGCCTGCAGAATAAGATATTAAACGTTTGCTTCTTTTCTCTGCTCTTAAAGACTGCCTTTTCCAAAAGGACAGGCAACAATGCTTTCAGAATTTTATTCTATCCTTTTTTTATTTCATCTCCTTTCCCTCTTGTGCTATGCATTACCTTCCTACCTACACAACAGGAATCCAGTTCTCCAGCAGCAAAACATTCTGCACCCAATTCTCTCTCCCAAGACAATCAGCAACAGAAACTAAGCCCTGCTCAGATGGTTGCTGTCATTCCCCAAACTGGTATTAAATAAACCAGGCCTTCCTCCTGGCCATTTTTCCTTCTCTGGTAATTTTTCCATGGTTTTCTGAGCCCCTGTCATAACATTACATCACGAAAGTACTTTCCTTCTACTCACCAGAACTACAAAAAGCAACCAGAACAATGCAGGCAGTTAGCAGGATGCAGTTCATCTTGGTCATGCTTCTTTCCTAATTTGAAAGCATAAAGAGAAGTTACATATTTATTTTATTTAAAAGCTCCATGAAACTAGAAAAACACCCAGTGAGGAATTGAGGTTTCAAGGTTTGATTCAATATGGAACTGAAGGCATTGGCCAGGAAAACAGGGAAAGGAAAGAGAGAAAAATAACTGCACTTTCCAAGAGAGGATTTTGATTCTAAGAACGGGATTTTTATTCTGAGAACTGATATTTGAGCCCTGACAAGCTTAGACATGTCTCCTTTCTCCTCAGCGATTACATCATTCAACAGGTCTCCCTATTTCTCACAGCTACAAATGCACCTAACAAAAAGAAAGGCCATTCAGGTCTCAAATGCTTTTTCTTTTATAGCAATTCCCCAATAACCCTGGAGCCAGACCGTACTCCTTTCTTCACTCTCATAGGGTTGCAAGGGGTTTGGCTGCTGTAAGGGACCTGTAAGAAACGTTTGTTTCACATTGCCTGGCTTAGACAGCTTGCTGTGTGCAAAGGCCTGGATGTTTGCCTCAAAGCTTGCTGAGCCATAGGATGTCTCCAGCCATGGAAATCCTCTGGCTGCTGAGATAACGAGGCTCCACCTTGTCTACTGTAAATCTCTGGCCACACCTGATTCACCACCACAGTTTGTGAGGTGCCTGTACTGGGAATCTCTGTGTGCTGACGCAGCACTTGTGAGGTGCCCGTGCTGGGAATCTCTGTGTGCTGACGCAGCAGCTCGAGGGGAGCTGATCAGTCAGTGCCCTGGCACAGGCCCAGAACAAAGGACCAACGTCCAGGGTGAGTGTGTGTGTGCACCCACCACCAGAGAAAACATGACTGTGGCTCATGAGAACACTGCTGGGTCCGTGCTGCTGACTATCCCTGCCTCTGCACCCCAAACCTTGCTTACTTCCCCCTTCCCTGTTTCTAGCTCTCCTACTGCCCTTTCCCCTTTGTGTGACCAATAATAAAATCTCACTCCCTAACAGTATTTGACCTCATTTGTGTCTTAATTCACACGGGGGGAAATTGATCGAACCCTCCCGTGTCCTATCAGACCGGGACAGCTGCACCAAAGGCACTTTAGCCTCTCCTCTCCCAAAATTTCTCCTTCTCATCGAGGGACAGACACATGCAATGACCCATCAAGTGCCTGCAACGATGGCTCAAGTCTCCATGACTGCTGCAATCCATAGGCAGCAGTGAGATGGGAAGGGCAGGATTTTTTTTTAACATAGTCAGGAGTTATACGACAGAATTCTGCACACAGAGTCTGAACCACAGCTATAGCACCTACTAAAAAAACCTCCTCTGCTGCAGAGTAGGCTATTCAGAGGAGGTATCAAGTAGACACAGCAGGGAGAGAAGGACTTGTGCTAGGAGGGCATGATTTTATATTTGCCTTCACAGCCCAAGTGGGATTTAAAGCGCCCCAAAATTAAAGGTATTCAGATAACAAGTTTCACGACAAGACCACAGTGAAAGAGTCACATCACTGCTCTTGGCTCTGCTAGTTCTGCTTGCAGCTACTTCTACATGCAGCCAAGAGTCTGCAGTGTGGTAGACCATAACCATGTTAGGATGGAGCTTTTTCCTCCCAGACTGTGGACTTGAAAAGATGGTTTCATAGCAAAACAGTATTTAAATACTTCTCCACCTCAAGTCTAGGTAGTTTTTCTACTGACAAAAAAACCTCACCAACAAAAAACCCAAAATAAACCTATCCAAAAAAAACCCAAGCACTACATTTTTATCTTGTCTGTATCATCTACTTTTGAACAGGAAAACTAAGAAAAACAAAAGCATAATGTGCAAGATGAGTTGATTTTCTGGGGTAAACAAGTCTCCAAGAAGCCATTCAAGGCCAGAGCTTATCCCACAGTGATGAGAATTTGCAGAAGTGCTGTTAGGTCTGCTAATTACATCAAGAGCCACTCTGTACAGCAAACAAGCACCCTGGGAACTTCTCCAGCTTCCAGGAGAATGCTGGATTATTATCCAATATCTTAGCAGAAGAAAACGGTTTTGCCTTTTAGCAAAACCAAGTAACGACCAGAAGAAATACAAGGCAGATGAATAAAAATCATCAGAGCCAGCAAAACAGTAGTAATTCAATCAATCTGGTTTTGAGAAGATGAGTAATTGTTTACAACA